AGGAAACGGTATCATCACAGAGATCATAAAATGGTGTCGTGAGTAGTCTTTTGTCCGGGACCATAGGAGAGTTCTGTTGCTAAAGGGAAGGACAAAAGCAGAAGGCGCCACGGGTATAAGGTTCCCCCGAGCAACAATGCTGAAAGTTTCAACTTGCAGCACATGGGTGTAACTTTAACTGGAATACTGTGGATCAAAGACTCACAAACAAAGTGGGTGGAAATGCTGGAGGAGTGTCTGTGCTCCAGTGAAGGACAGGTTCACTAGAGAGAAAGCGGGAGAGACCATTTATGAAACGCAGACCAGGCAATCAAGGCTAATTACTGAGGCTGTGTTTGGTGAACTCAAAGGGCAGCATGATTCAATTAACAAAATTGATGTGAATTATAATTTTTGCTTATTTGGGAAAATTAAATTACCCGACATACAAAATACGTGGTAAAACAAGCTTATCAGATATGAAACAACATAGGATTTAAATATTGTCACCGCTTCATGTGCACTTAATTGAGTGGAGGACACACAGAATATTTTGTATTGCGTGTCAAACATTCATTCCACACTCCTGTCTTGTTGTAGAAGGTGAGGGAATTATTCAGTTCCACTTCTTTAAATAAGAAACACAGCCCTGAAATTTGTGGGGCTTAAGGCAACTCATCAGGTTAGATCAGTGCAATGTGGATGCGTAACCTTTACACTGCAGTTGAACCTGCACATACACGTGTTATGAAAGGTCCCTGTGGCACTCTCCTCTTCTGACATGGATTTGAAGACTTGCCACTTTATTAGCTGCTAAGCCCCCAATACTTGTTCTATATAGTGGAGGCCTATGTTATGAGCCGGGATCTCATTGTCTTGCGTTATTAGAGGAAGAGTGTGCAGCACTCTCTTGTCCCCCCCGAGAGAATAGCCTGACTGTTTGAAGGGAAGCTACAAGTGCAATTTAACCCATCTTATTTACAATATGATCTGTTACAAGGACATCATCGCTGCAAGGATTCACATCTAATATATCCCCTCAATGTGATTCTTCTCTGTTTTTATTGATTTGGGAGAGTATTTTGTTTGATGTTCACTTGAGCCTTTAAAAAAAAAAAGAAATATCTCTGAATCTGTCAAGTTAGACTTCCAGATAAACTGAAAACGTCAGTGTTCTACACTCTAATTCAGTATTCTTGATATATATTTCACTGGAAACTTCTGGAATAAAATCCAAACAATTGCTTTGTTATTAAAAGGTCAAAACTGTTCATTAATAAATGTCAGTGGCCACTGAGTGCTTCATGATAATATCAACATCAGCTCAGGGAAAACAAGCAGTTTGTGATCATCACTCGTGTCAGCAGCACACACTTACCCTCCAAAATGGAAATTATCTATTGGCATTGAATAATAAGTGCCATAGTGCCATCTAGTGCTCACATTTGCACACTGAACAATGACAGACCCTGCATGCACATAAACTATATCTAACATATATAGGCATAAAGCCTTACAAAAGAGGTTCAAGTGATAAAGATATAAAACACAGTAAAGGATAGTGTAGTATTTACAATGATTGCTTGTGTGCATCAATGTGAGGTTTAACTAAACTGAATGACCACACTGAAGATGTCCACTCTTGGGGGAAATAAACTCGGAGACAAAGGTTTGCCTTCCAAGCCAGGTCTCTGACTACCCTCAGTTGTGGAAAGCCGCAAGGATAATTTTCTTCAGACAATGAGACAATGTTGAAGGCTGTGCATGCAAATTATACTCTGCAATCTAAATTACAAAGACATACACAGACCTCAAGTCATCAGGCGTCGTATCTCACTCATAGGGCCTCCTGGCTGTTAGGTTGCCAGAGGATGCTATAGAAACAACTGAACAGAAATAATAAGAAAAAACACATGAGCCAAAACAAGAGTGTTGAATAATTGATTGTGTTTGTCTTTGCTGTTTGTGTGTTTGAGTGTATGTGTGAGAGAGAGAGAGTTAAGACTGAGGGTCTGGACAGAGCTTATGCCCCTGAGCAGAGCAGACACATCCACTGGCCAATGGTTCGTGTTAAAAACTGTCTGATGGACCAAATGTGGGGGGAAGGGTGTGTTTGTGTGTGTCGGGTGCATGTGTGAGGGTATTTACACACATGCCTTTGAGTGTAAATTGAAACAGAAATAGATGAGGACAGTAGCCGTGTTTGATTTGGTCAAAAGAGACACGATGAGCTCATGTTAAAATCATGACTGTTTTCGCATTCAGTTACATGGGAATAAAACAAAGTAAACATTTCCAGGAGACAAATGCTTGTTGTTAAACGGCTCAGAAATAGGTATGTTGTAAGATGTTAAAAAGTCAATATACCTTCATTTTGTCTGTGCTGGTAATGAGCCATATTTTCTGGGGAAAATGGCTGCTTCTCCGGAGGCACCATGTCTACTGAATGTGGCCCTGATCCTGGATAAAACAGAAGGCTCACCAATCAATCTCTCCAGGTTGCCCACAGCCAGAGAAAGCAGCTGCACCACATGTTTGCCTTGCGCGATAGCGACAAGTTAACATACGGGCAGCACAGTAACCATCCACAAGCAGCCTCTAGCTGTCTTATAATGAATTCCCACCGGGATGGGGAACTATCAGAGTCAGTGGTGTTACTGGAGGCTCGGAATAAAGTCAACACCTCTCCTTATACCTGATGAAGCTACGGCAAGGCAGGAAACACACTCATACACACACATACAGTCACACAGCCACAACACTGAACTTGTAAAAATGTGAAAAATTGAATGTAAACAACAATTAAGCTGTACGGTTTGTTAAATCACAAATTAGTTAGTTTGTTATGTTTTTAATAGTGTGCTGTTACTCAAGGCAGCTATTTTTTACACTGTAATTAATGAGTTGTATACATTGTAAAGACCATTGTAGAATTCAAAACAACTTGTTTCAATTATTTCTGAGCTATATTAAGCATCCCTTATTCTGTCCTTACGTATAGAATATTAACCACACTTCATGATGTCAAATCAAGTTTGTTTTTATTGTATCCAACAAGTAATATCTGCACAGCCTCATCAGATAGAGGTAAAAGCCACTGCAAACCCATTAGGTGAAGTGTGGAATTATACAGGGCTCCTTGTGTTGAAGTCAAGGATGTTTTAAAGATTTAAGCGGTTCTTAAAATAACGGTGGTGTTACAACAGTGGTGATGGATCTGTTTTTAATGTAAAGGTAAAATCCCTACATCTATAAACTACTAATTGGATTATTAACTATATAAGTGTTAACGCTTACTGGGGTATATTTTTAAAGAAACTTTGCAGCAGTTTGTTAAGCATTTTGGGGAACACATGTATAATGTACAATTGTTACACTAGTTCAAATATGTGCCCTGTGAGCATTTTTAATGTCACAATTTTTTTTATGAATAGCCAAAGACCATCCAGCTTGTATGTATACAGCAGGTACAAGTTGGCCCACCTTTATATATAGATATTGATATAGTCTTCCTAACCTCCAGGCCTCTGCTCTGCTGCTCCCCATGGGACGATGTGAGTGATGAGAGGAATGTGCAGCTCGGGAGATGCTGGGGAGAAGGTTTTGGTGAGATTTGGTCCAGGTCTTTCTGGGTGCATCTCTATTTGTTCACTTGGCACCTCCAGGACAATCTGCAGATGCAGCAAACAAAAAGTTTAAAACCACTATGGAGGCAAAACCAACTGTGTGTATCCAAAGCCTATAATCACAGTGGCTTAAAACGAGGACAGGTGATTAACTAGCTTCAATTACACAAGGGACCAGTAATATTTGGTTAAAAATGAGCACCATTTGTTAATGACGCCTTTTGGGCCACTATGCTATTTTTGGATAAAAAGTAAAACAAGAATATACTGGCAACTGCAAACAGGAGATGTTTTTTTCTTATTCCCTTCCTTATTTCAGCTGAATATAGTTTATATTTGAATAGTGTATTTATATCGACTGGTTAATAGAAAAGTACATACTTCTGTTTATTCTCTTTTATCCACAGAAATGTGGCCCAGATATTACATATTCTCACACTTCATCAGCACTTACCATTTTTGTATTTTTCTGAATGTGACTTTTTCCCCCTATGGGCTATCCTCCTCCTCCCAATTCTTGACAAGGCAAACCCTTCAGAGAATGCTGTTTAAAGAAAAATAATCATTGAACTAAAAACAACTACCGAAGCTACAACATATCTTTTTCGATTTGAGCATAATATTCTCACAGAAATAGAGAAATAATATAGATATAAATGGCATATTTTTTACGGAATCTGAGCAGCACTGGGTTGAGTAGAATATGAAAAGATAGTTGGATGGATAGATAGATAGATGAATAGACAATACAACATAGGTTGTTGTCTGTGAAATAGAGAATGGATGTGTTTGCATTCAGTGTAATACATATAGAAGTGGAATATACCAAACATGTATAAACTGGATTTTCATAATTTCACCACTAGATGTCACCCACTGACCATAGAATAACAACTGGTGTACTTGTAAGGTGTCACATCATTTTGAGTTAGGAAGGACCATTGATTATCTAACATTAACAACAACCAAGCAAAACAAAAAGTGTCATCATAAATAGTATAAATTGTTAATATTTGTGTGAGTTGTGTGCCCTGGGCCTACTTATATCCCTGCCAGGACTTAAGAAATTACTTACGTAGATGGCCAAAGACTTAAAGATAAGATAAGATAAGATAAATAAAGATAAGAACATTTTAATGCTGTTTATGCAGGCTATTTTTTGTTTATTTGGTTTTGTTGGCTTCAACATCTCGGTGTGAATGCAATCTGACCAACCTATCACAATCTGAATTGGATTTAACAGGCTGCATAGGCAGGTATTGATATATAATGTAAACACATAAAGTTAAATGCATAGAAAAGCCATGCTGGATGCACATTTAACAATATGATGCTCAGGAGGATGGATGGAGCCAGGATGTGGCATGTGTGCATGACGTCATTTCTCCATGTACTGTGCGCCATTTTGGAAGAAAAAAATCTCGGATAATTTCCGTGGTCTTGACAGATCTGGACCCGAGTCTTCACACTGATTGTGGATGCTATCTATTTCTCCGAGCAAGCCTCATTGGTTGATTAAGTTTCGCAAGCCGTGTACAGCAAGAGCTGCTACATGAAGCAATGGCGGGTAAGCTACTTTTGAAGGGAGGCAAAGGACCCACCTCACTTGGTGTGTGTGATGGCCTGAATCTGCAAGTTAGCTAGCCAATGTTAGCGCTGGCAAGCTAAGTTGCTAGTTGTCAAACTGTGTCACTGTCTGGTCATTTTATTGTCAGACCAAACCCGAGTCACACACAAACTAACGCTTTGTTATTTTCTACAGGAGTTGCAGGAGGAAATGATTTTCAGTGGTGTTTCTCTCAAGTGAAAGGAGCGATAGATGAAGATGTTGCGGAAGGTATGTAGCTAACGTTAGCTCGGCGGCTAGGCTAAAACGATGGGAAGCTAGCTTGATGGTCTGATGATGAGGATGCTCTGTGGGCTTCACATGAGATGCACGATAGCTGGATGTTTACACATGTTTTAATATTGGACGGCTATTGTGGGTGCTGCGATGCTGTTGGTGGATCAGTTGCACAAACGCCCTTTCCTTTGCATTACTGTGTGTCGCTAGCTAGCTGTATGCTAGGTGGTGGCTAAGCTATTAAAGGGGAGCGACCGTGTCCATGACGTCAATGGGCTGCGTCCATAAATTGTCTAGTGACATCATGCTTGTTTTCATTCATTCATACTTCAATGGGTGTACATGTTGTGTAATTTGACTCCGTGTGCCTGTGATGCTTTATTCCAGTGAATTGTCTCTAGTCTGTAGCCTAACACAGTAGCATGATTGTTGTTGTCATCAGAAATATGATGGTAAAAACTGAGCTATAAAGTGACTCACTCTGATTTCTGTGCATTTTCAGCTGACATAATCTCAACAGTTGAGTTCAACTATTCTGGAGAATTACTTGCAACTGGAGATAAAGGAGGAAGAGTAGTGATATTCCAACATGAACAAGAGGTAAGGCTCAAATGGAGTGAGTGTGTTCATCAACAGCATTTTGTCTGAAGTTATATCCTGACTGACTGCAATAACAATGTTTAAACCACAAGACTTGTGTTTGTTTTCAGTCCAAGAATCGTCCACACCTGCGCGGGGAGTACAACGTCTATAGCACTTTTCAGAGTCACGAGCCAGAATTTGACTATTTGAAAAGTTTAGAAATCGAGGAAAAAATTAATAAAATAAGATGGCTACCCCAACAAAATGCTGCTCACTTTCTACTTTCGACAAATGGTAAGAGTTTGTTTTCTATCTATTTTGATAATTTGGAAATGTTAGTTTTTGAAACTAAGATGCAACTTGATCCCTGTCCGGTAATTGTTGTCTCCTCTTCTTATCTATTTTTGTCAGATAAAACTATCAAATTGTGGAAAATAAGTGAAAGAGATAAAAGAGCAGAAGGTTACAACCTGAAAGATGAAGATGGACGACTTAGAGACCCCTTTAGAATCACCTCTTTACGGGTATGTGTAATCATTCGTGAGACCTGTCTAATTTTTGAACTGTTTTTTTTATATATTGTCTAAAAATGCATGTTGTTTGTTTCAGGTACCAGTACTGATGCCAATGGATCTCATGGTAGAAGCAAGCCCACGGAGGATCTTTGCAAATGCGCACACCTATCACATTAATTCCATTTCTGTAAATAGTGATCATGAAACGTACCTCTCCGCAGATGACCTAAGAATAAATCTATGGCACATGGAAATCACAGACAGAAGTTTTAGTATCCTTTTTCGTCATCAGAAATACATTTATTCGATGTGTGGCTTATAGTCTCTGCATTGTATCATGATGAAACATAAGACTGTTTGTTCCTTAACAGTGTGTTCCCAGATATTGTAGACATCAAGCCCGCTAACATGGAGGAACTGACAGAAGTAATCACAGCTGCTGAGTGCCATCCACACCAATGCAATGTATTTGTGTACAGCAGTAGCAAAGGCACCATCCGCCTTTGTGACATGCGAGCAGCGGCACTCTGCGACAGGCACTCAAAGTGTAAGTATTTCAACTGTATGCTGCCATGTGTAGTCAATCGACAGGTGTTGAATAGAACAATTCATTAATAAATACTTTTGATAGATTTGTTACTGTAATATTGCCATTGTTTGACATCCAGTATTTTTTTTGAAAAAAATACTGGATGTCAAACAATTTATCTAAACTAATATGGTTGTGATAGATATTCGTTTTTAGTAGAGTTTTCTTTTTCATGCCTAGATTGTGTTATCTGTTACCTATTATTAAAAAGACAAAAAAGGCGTATCAATTTAGGACTAAGAATCAGGGATTTTCCATCTTTGTTTTAGTCTTTGAGGAGCCAGAGGATCCGAGCAGCCGATCCTTTTTTTCTGAGATCATCTCCTCCATCTCGGACGTGAAGTTCAGTCACAGCGGACGCTATATGATGACACGTGACTACCTCTCCGTCAAAGTGTGGGACCTCAACATGGAGAACAGGCCAGTGGAGACGTATCAGGTGCATAAACATACTTCTCTTGTGACTTCCAATACAACATGTAACCATGTGTGTGAGAACAATAATAAGCAGTGCAGTGCCTAAAACAATGATCTCTGATCTGAGGGACTGTATCAATAGCTATTTCTTACATAGACTGAAAAGCACTAAGTTCTATTTTTGTGATCGTGGCAATTAAGTCAGGACTTTCCCAAAGTGATATAACATCAAGCATGTGGTGCCTCTACCCCTCCCCTGCTACTTTACACTTTTTCTACCAATTTTTTTCAAGACCAAGTATTGCTTGAGTCAATTTACACTTCAACTATATCAACGGCTCAAGTGAATATTTTTGCTTAAAGTTCTGCGTTATGTTTCAGGTCCACGAATACCTTCGCAGTAAGCTCTGCTCCTTGTATGAAAACGACTGTATCTTTGACAAGTTTGAGTGCTGCTGGAATGGCAGTGACAGGTATGTGTCCAAACGCTTGTACGGCTTTGCTTTTTAGTTGTTTATTGTGTTTCTAAATACCGGTAATAGGTTTTACTATATTACTAACTTATTTGACGTTGTGTTGTGTGGTTTTCTCATGTTTGACAACTGTTTATTTTCTCTCTTCACCAGTGCCATCATGACCGGCTCCTACAACAACTTCTTCCGAATGTTTGACCGCAACACCAGGCGAGACATCACACTGGAGGCGTCCCGGGAGAGCAGCAAACCACGGGCTACGCTCAAACCGCGCAAAGTGTCCACCGGTGGCAAGAGGAAGAAGGATGAGATCAGCGTGGACAGCCTGGACTTCAACAAGAAGATCCTCCACACTGCCTGGCACCCCAAAGATAACGTGATAGCTGTGGCAGCCACCAACAACTTGTACATTTTCCAGGACAAAATCAACTAGAAGATTTGGGGCTCCAGAGGATAGGGCTTTTACCGTACCTGTGTAGTTAAGCCTACTACTTGTCTATCTGTATAAGAAGAAACAGCCTCGTTGTTCTCCTGGTGAAGAATTCGAAAGCACGCGTCTACTTTTTTTGCCACAGGAGGTTGATCCATAGGCCTGTTTTATTTTGAGTCTGAGCTTAGGTTGTTTTTGCCTTTGGCACCAGGGCAATCGACATGCCACCTGACCCAGAAAACCCAATTCGGGTCTAATTGACGGAATGGCACTCCCTAGAGGTCAGGTCAAACTCTTGAACGTTGGTGTTTGTGTTGACATTTTAAGCCTTCATTTCATGATTTAACGACAGAACTCTTGGAAGCCCTTAAAATGACGTCTTGTCAAAGTTGTAACATCATCTCAAAGATTTTGGGCTTTCTGAAGCACGGATTAATGGCCAATAAGCCTAACTGTAACATTCCCCCCATTGGCCATGTATTCAGGCCAAACTACAGGTGGAAGAGGCCATGCATTTGGAAAGTGGACTTGTTTCTTTTCTTTCCCCTTCCTCTTACTTTACCCAGTAAATACGGTGACATAATTTCACTGACTGTATCTACTCAAGTACACCTTGTCATCCACATAATAAAAAGAAACTAAAACTACAGATGTGTTTTTAAATTTAGAAGTATGTATTAAAACATGTTTATTGCTTTGCATGTTTTTATGTTGTAGAGAGGTGGAAAATGTCCAGTCACACCACTGTCTTTGAGCAGATCAAGCAAACTTGTTATTGAAATACCATTTGGGGCTACCAGTTTCAGAACCACTGTGGGAGACAACTGATAATGTGTTGGTGTCAAGAGATTAATTTCTTGTTTTTGACCATGTTTAGGGTGTAGGCTGGAAACTACATGGCACAAGATGGGGCCCAGGACAAAGGGAATCTGCAGCCTTAATACCTACTTCTATCAGTGACAGCTACTGTACAAGTTATGTTCCCAAACGTTTTACAAACCTCATGTGCATTATTTGTAAATCCTATTTTATAGAGTTATGTCCTCATACTGCTGCTATATGTGGCTGTCTATGAAAACACAAAGGAGGAAATTGCACACCCTACAGTTTATGTAATAAGAGTGCCTCCTAATCATGTAATAAATAAGAAATTCAGACAGGCCTCGTACATGTGCCCTTACTCATTTATTAGGGATGTCACCCAAACTTAAACCGTATTGCAAATGTGGATCTTATCTCCGTAGTTGTGAATGCAGAAATGAAGGTTGACTACACAAAACATATACTGATGACATTAAAACAACACATATTAATGCATTGTCTTTGTCCATTGATTCCTAACATGGTGGCAATGTATTCACTTGTTTATTATTTTGACCAAAGTTCAATAAAATTTTAATTGTGTTCATCTGCATGTGGTTCTTTCCTTAATAAATCCATGTTTTTGAATACTGGTTAAAAATCCATCAGGGCCATATGTGTATTTCCAACTTTTATTGTGTAGTATGATCAATATCGTGGACCATATCAGTCCTCTTTAATACTTATCACAATTGCAAATAATTGAGCAAGCAATAATAGATGCAGTCACGTTAATACGAGGCTAATGATCCATAAGAAAACAAATAAAAGTTACGTGTCAAAACAATTCCCTTTCTCCAAAGCTGATCTTCAAAACTCAGATAGTGTATCCTTTCAAAACAAAGTGATATCTCATTGCAAAAATGAAAAAGGCATGGTGTACAATATATAGTTCCCTAACGTGCAGATTTAAGGAGCAGGAAGCAGCAAAACGGCAATCTCCAGGCCAGAACTAGGACTACAGCAAAGAGCAGAGGATAGGTCACTGTTGTGTTCAGGAGTAAACACCATGAGACAGCAATGACAGATCCTTAACTCTAACACAGGTGTGAGCTAAGAGGGGCCCTCAATGAAATTTGACCGTGTCACATGGCCACCTCCCATTGATCATCAAAAGGTCGCATTTTAAGGCATGCCGAGGTGGTCACATCAAGGTGACATGGTGTCGCAACAGACCAACGTCCTACTTAGTAGGTGCTGTGGGAGGTAAGGCGCTTCCCAATGTATATCCTAAAAGAAGAGAGACAAACATGTCAAAACATATGGTACAGAGAACAAAATATACAAAAAAAAACATAGGGGAAACACTGATGCTCACATTTGAAGGCTCTACTTTATCAGAATAATACTATCAATACAAACATATCTGTTCCATGTTACGTTTGTCTTAAGTAATTAATAAACATACATATTTACCATTGATTACTACTAGAACTTAACATAACCTTCTGACAATGCACATGACAAAGGTATAAATAGTACACTACAATGAGTTATTTTTACCGTTTTCCCACTAAATATGATACACTGAACATGAGAAAAAAATATAGGGCTGCCACTTTCTACAGGGTATTTGAGTTTTGGAACTACTTTTTGTGTTACTGCAATACTGTTATCTTCTATCCTACATATGTTTAGAGGTACAACAGTTGTCCTGCAAAAAAAACATGTAAACACTACACTGGAATCCATCACTCTGAAGTAATTGTCAGGCCATTTAATGCAGAGACTAACACTCGACAACCACTAAATTATTCATGGTGTGTGGGTGCAGTTAAAGGTCTGTTTGCATCAGTGATGTTTCAAAACAAAATGGAAAACTAGTCTATATGTTCATGTATTATTATATGAAAAACACCAAATAAATCATGTCAAATTATTTGATTATTTATAGGCGAGTACATCAATTGAATGTGGTAAAAATCTGGGCTTTAAACATTTTTTTATAAATCCTTTTGCCATGTCCTGCAATGTTTTTAGCTTTTCTGAGTTACTGTAATATTGCCATAGCTAGAGATGTAATTATGAGGCTTACCCTAGGCCAACAGCCAGTATGTGAGAAATGATTAATGAAGGAAGGAAAAGCTTCAGAAAGTCAGCAGAGAGAACGCCTCCCTTCTTCATGACGCTGGTGTTCCTGATGCTGAGAGAGGTCGTGCGGTTAGGGTACTTCAGCAGGAACTCCCTACAGAGAAGCACATCAATGTTTCACTGTTATGAATACATAGAAATCAATGAGTGCCAGTTTATTATCACATCAACACCTCTACTTACACAAACAATACAGTAAGAAATCACAGTCTCAGATATATATACATAGACTAATATGTGTAAGAGATTATAGAGCTTTATATTTGTTCGCTAACCATGTTCCATTATTGTTATCACTGCCATTTTCTCATATGTGGTGATTAGATCATAATTGTATTCAGACGGTTTAATAGTCATCAATAATTTGCATCTATAAATACCTAACAGCACATTTTTGTTATAAAATAATCATATTAAGAGTTACCACATGACCACTTACTTTGGTGGATTGTTCTCAGGTCGACTGGACCAGTCCCAGATCCAGTCAGCGTTTTTCTTCATAATGTTCTCCACTTCCCATCTTCTTTCCTGAAAGTCTTCATCTGACTGAAAACAGTAAATGTGGAAAATCAAGCAACAACTTGGCCATAACTGATATTAAATAAAGCAACATTATGCTGTAAAACACCATATGAAATGTTGATTAAAATTGTACCTGTGAGCTGTTTGTCTCTGATCCTCTACACAGAAGAAGAGGGGTCTGGGCTCTAAGAGGGCTAGTGTGAAGGAGACAACACAAAAAGGTCAGTTAAGAGTGACACATAGATGATCAGTATTACACAACATACAAGTAAAACAAAAACTGTGCTTCCCTTCCCCCATTACAAACCTGTTGCACTGAGAACTTCCTCTGGAGCTGTTTTTGCCTGACTCGTGCTGTGCATCTACCAGCATTTTCTCCATGTCACACTCCTGGAAGGACATGGGGATTTGTTCCTGGCTTCCATGATGACTAGTGTTTTGAGAGCCATTGGCACTGAAATTCAGCTCAACCCAGGAACCTTAAATCAAAAACATAGTTTTAACACATTGCATTTGAAGGGTATCCATAATGGCATCATTGGTCTTTGTTTTGTCCCCCTGGATGTATATTATTGTAAATTAAATTGTAATTGTGTCGTATTTCTATTTGTATCTATAGTATTTTATGCTTTCTTTATTAATATTTAGCCGTTTTTGGCCCTTTACTCTGCTGTCACAAAGTAAATGTCCCCTTTGTCGGGTGAATAAAGGTTTTCTGATTCTATATAGGCTGGGCCTGGGACTAACACACAGGTTAGGGCTAAATTAGAAAAATAAACAGAGGCAACCTGTAATCTGCCTTGAGGTCATTTTGATGGTACAACAATACAGTTAAACCTTATTTACTGACTATGCCGCTGGGTTTATAATCTTTGTAGGGCTCTCCACGTCTCGAAAAAACATAGGTAGCGTTGAGCTTTAACATAGCAAGTTTTCCAGATACATCGAGTTTTTACCTCCGGGCTAAGTATAGTAATATAACGCTGTGATTCCCTACTTTCAGCTAGCGCTAGCATAACCACTGGTTAGCTACAATATGTTTCGTCGGTTATTCGTTACCTTGCAAACTGTCGTCCGATGAAATCTCCTTTTGCTGCGACATTTTACTGGTGTGATCTTGAAGGTCCAGCCGTTAGTTTTAAATGCATACGTGTAATCGAAATGATGGCGAAATGCCTAAGCAAGCAGCTGGAGCACCAACCACCACAATAACAATGACGCAATATTGTGTTTATCTGAAATGTGATTGGCTCGCAGAGCACGCAGAAAGAGAGTGTGCCACCCTGAAGAGCGCGCATGCCCGGACACGCTCTCTGAACAACCTCAATAACATGATTAGCAAGTTTCATAAGCTATTTTATAACATTATGTTTACAGACCAAAGAGAACGTGTCAGCTTATTTCACATGTTGGTTGAACCTTAGTTGTTAGCAGTTACACACACCTGTCTGTAGATGGCAGTCATTGCTCATTACTCCCAGTCTCTCTCAGTTACTCCATACTAAATACCTTGTTATAAAGGCCACACAAATCTAACTATTAAACTGCATAAGGTGCAAACATTTGACCTTTAATTACAAAAATATATATATTTGCTGTAGTCAATATACTACATTACACATATACTTTCTGTTGCATTGTCTTATGCTCCTGTCCTGTGTGCCAACCACAATGAACACTTGCAGGTTTAGAGAGTGTTTGCAACCTGCCCTGAGGAGCATATAATTAACCAAGGAAAACCTATTACTAAGTGTCTAAGGGCTTATTTTAATTAACTATTCCCCAAGTGACTTACAAGACTGACTATTGACAAGGTAAAACACAATATTGTCGCTGAGTTCTTAGAGAGGCATCTCCAAATTTGAGACTGGCAAATTTAATTATGTTTGCTCCCGTGGAGATTAGCATGACTGATTATTTTTGCAAAATCTAATTATTTCTGCAAATGAGGGGGCTTATTATTCCTGGTTGTGTTCTCCTTCCTGGCAGATCATAGTTTACATGGAATTTACTAGATTATTTAAAACAGACATAATTTTCTTGGGTAATCACTAAAAAAGTTAATTCTGCAGTTTTCCTCAAAACACAGGCAAGCACAAACAGGCAATATTAATTCAATTCACTTTGGTGCTGCATCATGATTTTGTTTCACAATTCACTGTTTTCATTTTCTGTAATCTGTTAGTTCACGGTTATTACTGGAATTGGTAAGTATGCCTGATTTTTCTAATTTCATCTAATTTGGTTCAGGACCATGCTCACAAGATATTGAGCACAAACAGAACATATCATTTTAACAGTATTGAGAGAGAAGTTAATGAGGAATTGTGCATAGACAGCTTAAAAAAAAGACATAAACCAAAAATAAAATAATTCTGTCACAGCAATGGTGAAAAAGCATGCCTTGTGTCATACTACACACGTGCAATTTCACTTGCAAGCCACACAGATAGATCACCCAGACTACGGATATGAACAGAAAAGGGCATTGTAAGGATGAGTAATAAGTGCCATCGTATGAAACTCCAATTACTGGGGGTCTGCCAAAATAGTAGTTACATCTCAAATTGCCAATAAGAAATCATATGTTTTTCTACATTCTTAAAACAAAGCCTATATCATTCTGATAGCCAAGCTACTTTTGTCTATTATATTGAGAACTGTTCAGTGTTGTACACACAATTTGAGAAAACGTAACTGATGTTAATTCAATTCATGTACCTTGTGCTCAATTACAACTTTTATGGAAACAAAAATAAATCACCATATCACAAGTAATATTATTATATTACAGTGAGCTGTTTCACATAGCTTTAACTAAAAGCTATATTCATAGTACTGGTATTAAATAACAAACAAACAAAGTGGCCGCATTTGGGCGATAACATGAGCAATGAGCACTTGCCACTTCAACAAGGTCTGTAGAGTTTTAGAAGAATAAACTCAAAGCAGCTCAAACATGGAAACAGCGTCCATTCAAGTCAAGAAGTTGACATAACATGCAATATTTATGGTCACAACAAATACAATATAGCCCAAAGGGTCAAGAAATAAGTCCAATCCAATTTTGGCCATTAAATTGAACCAAAAATGTAAACTTGGATGTATGACATCAATCACAAGAGATAATCTACCATTATAAGAGGTATGTCTCAGCTGCCTATAGCAAGGAACACACCACCATCCTCTCACTTTTTAATCATCCACATATTGTGAAAAACATGTAAGCAATATTGCCATTGTCAGGACCAAGAGGTTAACAATTGTGGTACGTTTCACAAAAAACAAACAATGCCCAAACCTTTCTGCCCAAAGAATGTCATTAAGTTTGTATTGAGTACATATTTACCAGGCCAAGTAATAGGTTTATTTGAGACTTACCCACAAGGTGTACGGTTTATTACCGTCAAACAGAGCAACCACATTTTCACTTTCCCCAGAAAGTCCCTCCAACACCTGATGCAAACTGTGTGTTGGACCGTGAGCTGTATAAGAACAATGGGTTGCAAAAAGAGTATGATAAGGTTAAGGTTAATTTTTTTAGAGCACATTTCAGACACAAAGAGAATTCAAGGTACAATAACACATAATAATAACAAAAAAATCATAAGAACAAAAAGACAATTCATAAAAGAGGTACTAATAAATTAAAATACATTATATACATAGATACATTATAGATACGTTTTATAAATGTTAGTTAAGTGTAAATCAATCAAGTAAGCAGTGCTTTTGCGACCATCATCAAGCATTGATACAGCAAACGTTACACTTGAGTCACAAGCTAGCTTAAGTGTGTTTTGGATGATAAAGTCAATATTTTGTCGGAAAACAATTACCTCTGTTTTAAAAGGATTTCCAAATGCTTTAACGACTCGTGTATCCAAGTGGAGCACTTTTAAACAGAATAAAGAAGCTTTTTAAACAATCCCTATCTATATTTAAGTTGCACGTTTAAGCAAAAACACATTAGCTAAATCTTGTTCCACTTCCATGAGCACAGCACATATCTTTATTAATGTTGTTTACACGTATTTGATGTTTTCAAACCCTTTACTTCTTTAACTGCGTTGTACTCGAGTAGTACGGTAGTAGGTAACAAATCGAGTAAGAAGATTAGATTTATTCCCCTCTTTTTTTATATCGAAGAAGAAGTAGTGTCACTTCCGGTTGCCATGACTTTAAAATGTACTAGCTAGCGACCTTTAGCAGTCAATGCTAGTAGCCACGCGAAGCTAGCAATTTAATATTTTTGTTTTAATGGAATGGATATAACTTCTCTTTGAGGAACCCGAACATATGCTCAAAATACATGTAAGTGGTTCTTAACCAATCACATTTTTTCAACTTGCTTAAACACATGTTATCACTTTGTTGCTATTAATTAATCAATCAATCCAAACGTCACAAGTGTTAAATTAATAACTAGCTAATGTCAGCTGACGTTAGGTGAGTTAGCTTCGACAGAGGCACATAGGGGCTAGCAACAGCCTGAAGTGCTGAGATCTTGTACATAGGAAAAGTAAAAGTACCGGAGTGTAGGAATACTCTGTTAAAAGTAAAAGTCCTGCTTTCAAAATGTTACTCAAGTAAAGTACAAAAGTATATATTATCGGTTTTGATTATTATTATTGATTCATTAAAGTGTTTATCAAAGCTGGTTAAGGTGCAGCTAGTTATAATTATATTGTATTCTGCAGGGTAGCTTGAAGTAAAAGTACATGATTTACCTCTGAAGTGTAATGGGGTATAAGTTAAAGTGCAAGTAGCAAACATTTGAAATACTTAAGTAAAGAACAGTACTTCAGTAAATGTACTTGGTTACTTTGCACCACTGCCAACATCTTAATACTTAAACTAACTGACGTTACACAATCAATACATTTTAAAATTATGATTTACCTTTTCAGAATGGATCTTCACTGAACTTTCTGAGCACTTAAGGAAACCTGTCAACAAATCACCTGGAAAATAACAAATAACCCCACAAGGCTCCATCTGCTGCCCAGTAGAAGTAATTACCACAACACAGTCCTCTCGATCCATAGATCAAAGCCATCACTGAAGTATGGCAGTGTATTAGTAATCATATTAGAAGGTATACTTTACTTTGTACACAGACTGAAACCACTTCTATTCATAATTGCCGTTTCATGACAGGCTACTGTGCCAAAGCAAGGCCTTTTTATACAATCTACTCCAACACTTAGACTTTTATTATAAATAACAATTAAATACTGGAGCACAGATAAAGTGTTCCCAGCTGTGCTAAAGGTGAAACATTACCAACATATTTTTGAATAAAATGTAAAAATAAATGCAAAGTCAAGGAGCATTTAACTCTTGCCAAGTTTGCCTTGTACATTTTTGATGAATTAAAAAAATGTAGACACACATAATTAAATCATTTTGGCTTTGGATTTTCATTAGCAAGTATTCATGTCACGTTTTAATGTCTGATTCCTCAATCAGTTTAATCAGCATGTTTGCTTTGTTGCCTGAGATCCTGCTAAAAGTAACCTGATAGAAGTAAAACTGTCAATGTTGACACCCTCGTGGTATATGACATATATGAAAAGGAAAACAGGGATATAGAGAAGTCCCAGATGATAGTGTGGGACAGCTTGCTCTTTAACTATGTGAAGGTGTCTCTTACCTGACAGCACACCGAGGGATAATTTTATACACATAATAACCCCTAGCTGGTGAGATGAAGCACAATCATAGTAAGCTATATCAGTTGTGTTTACTTTGTGTGTGTCCTGACATCATCCAGGAGCATGTGGGTGGGGCGGGGGTGTTGTGCAGAAGCTTGAGCCTGAGAAGGAGAGTAGGCCAGACTGGAAATGGTTACGATCGATAGCAGAGAAAGGACAAGATGTCTGAGGAAGAATTATGGTGTCCGGAGCAGGAGATTTGCCAGAGCTTAATTTAGTATCAGCGAGGATTCACTGCAGGGCAAAGAACGCATTGCTGTAGAGACGGTGCTTCCAGTTTCACAGAGTGGAGATTATCTCTACTTCTGATGGTAATGAGCATGGAAAATCAATGTTTTAAAACTCATTATAGTTTTTATTAAAATGTAAATGGACCGTGACAGATTAACTCAAGAAAGATGAGTAAGACCCTTATTTTGTGACTATTCACATAACAGTTTAGCCCTTACCCTTTGCCCCTCTCTTTCTCTCTCTGTCACACACGCATAGTATACCCTAGGCATTTAGGGTAGGTAAAGAAGTTTAAAATATTCTGTAAAACAGCTTTTGTTCTTTTGTAAAAAATAAAATGTCAAATTATTTTTCAAATGTTGGAAAAAGGAGGAGGTCAGATATGATTAAATGAAAGCATGAATGAGTAAAGACTGTATTTGCTGTCCCAAAGAATGAACTTCCAACTGATGGTATATTTAGTCAATTCCACATTATCCATGCGCTTTAGCTCGCCTAACTTCCAGTAGGTCCTCAGTCCCCTGGGGGCTTCTTGAGCCCCTTCCAGGCGAGCATGTTTTGCTTTTTAGATGAGCTAAGAAAATATAATAACCTACTAGTTGACCTTTTTTAATCCTAAATAATAATAACAATAATCCCTTTCTCAAGGACTAGAGCTAGAAAATGACCTCTAATGGAATCTTGTAGGCTGAAAATGGCCCAGCAAATAATTCGGAAAAATACCGTCATAGCACCGAAAAAAGAAAAAAAAATAGTTTTCTTACTGAAGGTTGGTCATATTCTGCATATTTAGACTGCTAGAAATGTTGCAATATTATCCAGTAAAATCATTGGGGATAGAAAACGACTTTTTATTCAGTAAAATGTGGTTTGCAGATGCAATAGGGAGCAGAGGGAGTATGGAAAGTAACAGAGATTGCACGAGGCAAATTAAAGAGGAGCTTCCTGCTGCTCCCATCACTCACAATGTTATTTGATTATCTCACATCCTTATCAATTCAAGAGGGGGGGAAGCATTGCATGCCCCAGTGTGCCTGATGCATTGTGCTCAATTCATAATGAATTACCCAACATTCAATTAAAAACACTCTATTCATCACTAGCTATGATTTTAAACTTGTTACTAAGGTCTCTGTCTGTGCAAGCCTGCCTTGGCAATCTCATTGTCTGCAATGTGTTTTCTCTTTGGTCTTTAATTGCCTTTTAAGTTCACCTGAGATGCGTGACTTGCTGCTTTAAAGAGCTCTTATTGAACTATAGGTGAGAGAAATAAGAAGGAAATGGAGAAGTCTGACTGAGGCGCTGTGTTGTGGGAACGCCTGCCAGAGAGAGAGCTTATAAAGCATAGTTTTATTAGCTTAGTGTCACAATCATAAATCGTGATGTTCTGAAGTGGCCTTTGGAGGGGGGGATAAATCATTGTGTGTGTGTGTGTGTGTGTGTGTGTGTGTGTGTGTGTGTGTGTGTGTGTGTGTGTGTGTGTGTGTGGCACGAGTGTATTTTGTGTGAGTGAGCGATCCATAGATCTCTTAATGTTGCTCTCAGAGTACACCAGATTGATGCTTTTAACTTCAATATTAAAAAAAAGTCTTCCGGGGGTGCATGCCACCGGACCCCCTAGATGATGTTAGGTTCCCCCCCCACTTAAATCATGTTCACATGGATAGGATACTAAATACATTTGCACACATCTTGTGTCCATATATTTCTGTTAGGTGGTCATGCCACAACCGCTCACGTGCGTGCATGCAAGCGTGAGTCATAGTGATCTTAATGTGGATTTGGCACACTGATCACATTTCTTTTTTTTAAATGGCACTTCAAAAAGGTTGCCGACCCCTGGTTTAAAGCAATTACTTAGAGTGTCTAATGAAATCATTACATCTCTTCTCACTTGAGTCATACAAGGCTTGTATGACTCAAGTGAGAAGAGATGTAATGATTTCATTAGACACTCTAAGTAATTGCTTTAAACCAGGGGTCGGCAACCTTTTTGAAGTGCCATTTANTTTGTTGATTGAAATTCTGTTCCACTTTGACTTTGTTCCCTCCCTCTTCTGTCTCCAATTCCCTTCATCCTCAGAACCTTTTTCTGGGCTTTTTTTCTTCTTATACTCTCTCTGATTCTCTGCCGTATCTGTTCTTTCCTAGAAAGACAAACGAAGGAGAAAGGAGAAGACATTTAACATGCAGTCCTGATGAGGAACAAATGCAATAACCAAAAACCATAAAAAACAGCCTAATGAAACCATGCGTTTAATACTGAACTATTTAATATCACTTAAACTCTGCTGAATCCATTACAAGTATTTGTTAAACCATACATAGTAGAGGTATTCATGCCATTCGGTCTTTGTATTGAAGAAACAAGACGAGCCAGCGTCTTGGAAGAGTTTGCTTTTTTATGTCGTATATAAAGAAAAACATTACAATCATCTGTGCATATATTGAATGATGATAAGCCGACCTCCTTCAAATGCTACCCGCCTGTCAGTGAGAAGGCAATACAGAGGGCGCTTTCACACCAAGTACTTTTCCCAGGAATAGTTCACGGAACTTTCCCCCGGAACTATCTAGTAAATCGTAATAAATGTTCAAACTGGAATAAGTGCCTGAGGGAGCCGCTGACGTCACTTCTTCTTCTGCTGCTTTGGGTTTACTGGCAGGCCGCAAACAACTTCACAGTAAATCGCCAGAAGCGCCGACACCTCCTCATCACTCCCATGTTTTCTTTTGTGTTGCCATAAGTTAGTCTCTCTCCGTTGATGCGCTGGGCTAATGCTAATAATACAAGCAAATAAAATGGCGGCTTCAGCGGAAATAAAAACTTTTCCGAGTTTTACAGGGCGTGGTTTGCAATTCGCCCAGCCAATCGGAAATTGGAACCTTTTTCTCCCCAGGAAAGTCCCTAAAAAGGGATGAAAAGGTTCACGAAAAAGTTCTAGTTCCAGATCTTTTTGATGTGATGGCAAAATCCCAGGAACTATAGGAACTATTCCTGGGAAAAGTACTCCGGTGTGAAAGCCCCTAATGACACCACAGTAGTGTTTCCTGAAAACGACTAAACTCAATAGTGATGAAGTTCTAGATTTGTATTCAGAGTAAAGGTGGATGCTCACAATTGTATTAACTACGTTAACATATTTAGACAAAATATATGTAACTTGCACAGTGTAATGTCAATGCCAAGCATTCCCTTAAAATATGAATAGGCTGGAAGTAAGCAAAGGTTTATATGTTTGCATATAAAGTAAGTGAGATGTGTTTTCAGTTCATACTTTGATTTAGGCTTCCCATCGTCGGCATTTCGTTTCCCGTCCTCGGATGGCTTGAGGTTCTGCAGAGGAATCACTTCAGCATTCCCGTACCCGGCGAAGGTCACGGCTGCGGTGCCATTCTCCCGGTCTATCTCCTCAATCTCAGCCTCATAAGTCCTGCCAAAGAATCACGTCTGTAAGCAGGTGAGTATGAGCCAAATACTCAAGCTCTTCAAAATAAAGCAATCGTTTACTCATGAATTATACTTAATGACAAGTTAATCGTTACAAGATGTAATTATTTGAGCAATTTGTATAATAAGAAGTATTTACAGTTGACTTTTGCTACACCTATATTTATAGAGACTGGTTGAATTTAAAAACATTACTTTTTAATAAAAGTGAAATAGAAAAGTGTACGGGAAATGCTTTTTTATGAAAAGAGGCTGGTGATACTCACTGTCCGTCCTGATTCCACACAGCCAGGCAGTTGTCCCCCACTTTCCAGCGCTGCTTCACTGGCGCTGTCACTGAGCTATTAGTAGTTGAAGCACTCTCAGCGGGTTGTGAGGTAAGAAGGTCTGTTGTCAGATCGATGACTTCCTGCAGGAAAAAGGTAGGTTATTTCAGTGTTTTGGCTTGATCTTAAGACCATGGCAATACTAACACTAACTGTAATTAAGCATTTAAATAATATTTGCTTGTAAATTAAGATGCTTCTCTTTAACATGAAAGTATATATTTCACATGACAAACCTGCAAATGTATGACAACAAAAGAGAACCTACGGATAAGATTATTCTGTGTGATTAGGATAATTATTTTTGCTGCAAAATCTATACAATGTTTAAAAACATACACATTCAGATAGCTAGTTTTCACAGTGAAGTACTTCAATGTTATGATTTGGTATTCAATGTTTCCATTATAAAGTGTTTAACCTTTTATTTCGAATCCAGCTATTATAAATACTCTTAAGTGTAATTCAATATACTTTACTACATTATAGTCACACAAACCTGCAAGTCTTTCTGGAGTTTAAGGAGGTCTTCATTTTCTTCATCGGTAGATAAGGCAACTTCTACTTGCTGTAGCTGGGCTTTGTAGCTGTTCAACTGTTTCACCAAGTCTTCCGACATCTGTTCGTATACAAAAAGAAATAGCGTGTTTGGCTAACGTTAGCATATCCCAAAAGCTAATCGTAAACAACTTTTAATATCGAGCCACCACACATGAACGTTACTATAATCAGACTCAATTTTCGTATCGTGTTTGAATGCATCTGAGTGAACCGTGGACACATCCACATCTAGTGTTAAATGACAAACAAGATGAATACATTAGCTTGACGCTAAAACTGTTAGCAATACCCCTCGGCCTTCTTTCGTCGACGTCAATTTGACGGACAACGGCTAATGCTAGCAACGAGTGGCCGAGGCGCAATCACAAAAAGCATGGGTCACGGTGTAATCTTACCTCAGTATATATGTTGTTCAAATTATAAATACGGCAAGCATTCAAATTTCAAGTTGAAGATTTCCTAAATCGACTGCTGAAAAGAACAACAGCAATTCGTTTCTTCGTCCCGTACACAAATAGCTAACCGGAAGTCGGCAAACGAATTTCTCGCGATAACAAGAGATATCAGAATAAATACCAAGCGATGACTCGTTAGCCCCCCTAGCGGCAATGCTCAGTGCTCAGTAGTATCTTCAGTCTGCTGATAATTTTCCCATACTGGAAGCCATGTAGCTATAATTAACTTACAAGTGTGGGACATGACTGTTTGTACTGCGACTATAGCCATCCCATGAATAATGCTTTGTGTTGTGTCTGCCTGTGGTATGAAAAAACTGTTTTTGTACATCAAGATTTAGGTTACTTATTGAACTGTTAATAAAGATAATATATGGTAAAACTGTGCAGATCATTAGAATGCTCCAGAGATAAAAACACTTTTAAAAGAATAGTTGTTATTATTTTAAGGCATAATGTCACAGTAATTGTAAGCTACCACAATCAAAAATGATGACATCAGTGTATCCAAAATCAGGCACACAAAAATAATTAAAATTCCCAATAAATGTCATATTGAAGCATTATGTTGCACAGCACAAGACAGGAAAACACATTATATTTGTGTATCAAATACTCGATACTAGGTGATGTATTCACTATGTCCTTGGAAAAACAAAATGTGTCAAGCTACCTTTTTTATTACTGTAAATGTACTGCTCTAGTGAGTGATCTCTTTAGTTAAAGGCTGCGATCTCTCTACTGATTCAGATTTTATTTCCAGTTATTTTTCTCTCAGGATATACCTCAACAATTTGTTAATAAAGTAGAACAGATAAACCATAAAGAGTGTTATCTTAATCTATTGTAATTGAATAAACTACAGATATTACTTCTATAAATCAAATATATTATTAATGCCATAATCAGCTAATGGTTTCAGGGTCTGGGAGCAACAACAAATTGCTTTTAAATCTCCACTAGCAGATGAACTCCGCCCATTCCCGATCTCACTGAAGTGGAGCCGGCATCACAGATGCTCAGCGTCAGATCAAGCCCATATAAAAAGAAGAACTCTCCACTTTACCCACAGCAGATGACAGGATCTCCCTGAGCCGGCACTATCTGGAATGTAAGTCTGTATTATGATTTGTACTTTGCTATGCTAAAAATGTTGCTGGGTAAAGATTTTCTTTTTAAAAGGTTAGATCTATTTTAAAAATCATCATCATCTTATGTGGGAAACTGGGAATACATCAGTTATTTTTATTCCTTTCATTGTTGGTTTATTGGTCTTTTGTAATACAAAGAGACATTCTCATAATTTTTCTCTGTTGGTTGGTGTCTTTTTTTCTCAGTGAAAAAGAGGAAAAGAAAATCTCCAAGTGAAGAAAATGAAAAGACTGAATTCTCTGAGGCTGTATTGTTGAATGGATAATATCAACATACTACTGGCAAGCACAGCTTCCACTGTTGGGACAATATCTTCGACACCCCAGCTATGGGTTGTCTTAACTTAACCAGTGGAAATGAGACTGGCAGGCACCCTTATACTGTGCAGACCTCTGTGCCTTTAACCATCCTAGTGGGTATCCTCATCCTGCTAACTGTGTTTGGCAATGTCATGGTGGTGATTGCTGTGATCACCAGCCGAGCCCTGAGAGCGCCTCAGAACTTGTTTTTAGTCTCTCTGGCATGTGCGGACATTCTGGTTGCCACCTCAGTGATGCCTTTTTCTTTAGCCAATGAACTGATGGGTTACTGGCACTTTGGGAAAGTATGGTGTGAAATCCACCTGGCTTTGGACGTGCTCTTCTGCACCTCGTCCATCGTTCACCTGTGTGCCATCAGCCTGGACAGATACTGGTCTGTCTCTCAAGCCATCGAGTACAACCTGAGAAGGACGCCGCGCAGGATTAAATGCACAGTCATCGTAGTTTGGGTACTGGCGGCTATTATATCCTTCCCTCCACTTATCACAATGAAGAAGGACGAGGGGAAAGAAGATCGTCCCGAATGTAAAATTAATGAGGAGAAATGGTACATCATATTCTCCAGCACTGCCTCTTTCTTTGCACCATGTGTCATCATGATCATGGTGTATGTTAGAATATACCTGATTGCCAAGAAAAGAACCAGAACCCCGCCAGGTGAAAGGCAGAGAGGATTCGGAAACACAGAAGATGCAAAGTGTGGTTTGGAGAGAAAAGACGGAGAAGAGAGGGAGGAGGAAGAGGGGAACGGAGCAGAGATCAACGGGCTAGATCTGGAGGAGGAACCATCCTCGTCTGATGGGAATGACACTGTCCTATGTTACCGGAAGAAGGGGAGTTGTGTGAGAACAGCCAAAGGGGCTCAGGTGAAGCCGGGGGAAACCTCTCTGAAGCCAGAGGCGCAGCCCTGCGTGGGTCCGAGCAAGTGGAAAGGGAGGCAGTACAGAGAGAGGCGCTTCACATTTGTTCTGGCTGTGGTCATGGGAGTGTTTGTTCTTTGCTGGTTCCCCTTTTTCTTCACGTACTCGCTCACAGCTGTGTGTGACGCCTGCTGTGTCCCAGAGACACTGTTCAAAATGTTCTTCTGGTTCGGTTACTGCAACAGCTCACTAAACCCTCTTATTTACACCATATTCAATAATGACTTTAGGAGGTCTTTTAAAAAGATCCTGTGTAAAAGGAACAGAGTACGTTTATAAATAGGATTTTTTATGTATGCATTTTAAAATACAGCATGTTTGGTCATCTGTACCTAAGCTCAGATAAGTGTACATTTTACACAGATATTTATGGAATATACGAAAAATGTGAAAAGAAGCATGTTTTGCCATTGTGTTTTAACATGTTGTGTATTACCACATCAGTAAATATCTGTAATATTAAAATCATGCCAAATACCTTATGTGAAGTGTTTCACAGCTAGTATTATAATATGACAACTTTTGAGTTTACATTGTACAATTGTGACAACATGGATGATACATTTTCTACATGCATTTGTAACAGTATTCAGTCAACCTTTAGATATTTTTCATGTTTTGGGTCTTAACGCTTTAAACTCTTAATGCTTTAAAGACGGACTGACAGTGTGAGTTAGAAAAGAGAAAGATTCAGAACAAGAAAAATGGTGATAGGGAAACAATGGTGTAATATGCTACGAAAAAACATCCACTATAACGGCACTAGTTTATAAACAAGCATGGACAATAATTTCATTATGACAGATAACTTAATCAGCAATTACTCTGCCGGAGAAATGTTGAGAAGCTATGCATGCTTTTTGGACCGTTTACCTCTCTGTGAATTACCATCATAATGAAACAAAAAGCATACAGAAAAGTGCACAATTGTAAATGCTGCAGTATCATCTTTGCATAATAGTACAAACTTTAGCAAAGGCAAATAAAAGCATATTGTACCATAACATATAGTATTCCTATCTGACTAACCATCTCCTTCACTCCTAACAAGCAGATGAACATGACAATTATATGAAAATAAATTACGCCTGGGAGGTACGGGTGGCGCGACAATATTGAATGGAGTCTGTCTTGAATTATAGCCCTTCATATCAGGATATTATTAAATCTTCCCCTGGAGTCAAACACAAAGCGTGCAGCGATAGAAATATGAGTGGCTGCGGCAAATTACACTGCAAGGCTAATATCCACACAAGCTTATCAACGTGGTGTTCTGCTTGTTCAACATGCGGTCTCTTCTCCTTTTTTAGCACACTGTTAACAGCAGATCTTTATATCCACTTTACTTTAACAAATAGACATTTAGACCATTATCAGTCTGTGAACCTGGAAAACGTCAACGCACTATCCATTCCTTCAACTTACTGTACCACACGTTTACACGCTGGACTGCTCACATCGAGTGATTCCCATGACTTTTGGGACTCTGGTGTTTTGAGTTTCCTGTGGTACACATGTTTGGATTCGAAACATGTCTCAGAGTCTTAAAATACAACATCCTTTCTCACCACAAATGGTAAACCATAGATTGTACAGTTTTGCTAATAGAGTTCCCACGAACAATTTGACACGAGAAATATTAGAAAGCAGTGGTATTTGTGGCTTTGTGGCAATGAGAATCCATGCAGGATAAATCTATTCCCGGGTGGTTGTAAAATCCTCGCAGCACTTTGTTAGGATTCTGACAGATGGTATCAATATGTGTAAAACTGTACAGGAAAAGCCCTGCCATTGCAGCACTTACGAGGACTGCAAATAAACAAACTTTCTAGCTTTATACTAAAGCTTATCAATCAACATGTTGTAACATTTAGTACCATAAAACATTAGCCAGACAAAAATCCTTCAGATGTTTCTCCTTGGCACATGAATATGTCCTGAAAGATTAAAGTGCACTCATTACTATCTGAATGCATTCTTTTATTAAAATGACAACTATAATGGAGTCGGCCTTCTTGAGCGGCACGATGCATACATTACATTTGTAAAGCACTCTCTGAGCAACAGAGATTAAATACCAAAACACTAATGACATTACATTCCTAAAAATAATAATGAATACAATCCTAAAGAGTTGACTTGGCCATGATTTATAATTAGTTTGTCAAATCCAAACCACAGAAACATTCATGACATATTGAATACATCACGTTACTAAAGGTTTTCCAAATTGTCTGTGAACTTTAGGCTAGTTAACTGCAGCTCGCTATAAATTATGGCTCGTTACAAAATGTAAGCAGTTGATTTATTATTCACACACACACACACACACACACACACACACACACACACACACACACACACACACACACACACACACACACACACACACACACACACACACACACACACACACACACACACACAACA